TAATGGTAATGGTGTTTTACATTAAAGTTCTGGAAAACTAAGTCTGGACCAATTCTAAAAGTAACATTTTTTCCCCTATCTACACCTGCTGATGCTGCCAACTCCTTTGGATCAGCAGAAGCCTTATGCAAGTGAAGTAACTTGAGGAAACTGAGCCAGCTTAAAAAAAACTGGCTGGGAGGTGGGGAGATCTGTTCCTGTTGATACTTTTCAACTCTCAGCAGGAATATTAATGCTTACATAAGAACCAGCAAGATGCAATCAAAAAGAGGTGTGAAAGAAAGTCACCCCCTTTCACAGCACTCTGAACTTCAACTGGCTGCAGCTAAAGCAAACTTTTCTTAAGATCTCTCCTTACACAACATTATCATTCATTTACAATCTGCAATTTAAGGACACTTTCCTTGCATGAGTCATTCTGCAGACAGCAGAATTCAGAGTTTTAGACAGAAATAAGGATTTTTGCCTGGAATAACGAAATTTGATTTTCTTCAAACATTCAGTTGTGAATGTACTTGCACTTGGAAATTGTTTTGCCCTTGAAGAATGCAGAATCTTTTATAGGAGCTCTAGAAATTAAGGAGAGCATGCAGGAGGTAATTTAGAAGTACAATAAGAACATCTGGAGGCAAGGTTTAATAATCAAACAAATCCATTTGCTCTTACTCTCTCCATAACAACTGCATATCCACGACTAGGTAAAGCAGATTAACTCAAGTGTAGGTCCTCAAAGGTGCTCACCTGTCCTGTTCTGCTTCATTACACATCACACTCATGGCTATCAAATAAATAACTATAAACATCTGAAAACACAACCTCATTTTTCAAAGGCAGCATATTACAGTGGGTGTTTACAGTCATTCAGATACTCAGAAACTTTAGAGGAAGATAAATTCCATGCACAAAGTTTTCTCAAATGATCTTCCACAAACGAGGGCAAAGCAGAGCACGTTTTGGAAAAAGGAAAACTTTTTGCTCCAACCTGGAGCAATTTTTTTTCTTCTAAGAAATCACTCTATAAGTAGCAAAACTAATGAAACCTGTTTTCCTGCACTGCTGCATCTCAAGACTATTGACTTTGACATTTAACTACATAGAAGCTGTGACAGCAGTTTTTACTGCAGTTGGGCCATTCATAATGTTTGTGTCCCTGAATTCCCTGGAGTCTCATACCATAACTGATTTAGGCAGCCTCTCCCTCTCCCTTCTGCCCAAACTCCTATCATCATGCAAAGTGCAACTGACCAACAAACTCAAAGGCACAGAATAGGGGAAGAAAGAATGGCAGATGTAGCATTAAAAGCATCACTTCTTTAATAAATCAACCTAGCAATACAAAACTGTGCGCTGTCCTTTAATGCTTGTGGTTTATATTTTGGGAGCTGTGCTGCTTGAAGCTCCCTGCTATAAAAACAGAACCTGCTCACCCACTGGCTTTCTTATCTTTCACCTGGCAAAATTTCTTTCCATTCTCTTTTTATGACAAAATTTCCCTTTTTAATTTCGATTTTAAAAAGGCTTTGCATTATTTCAGAGTAGAGGTGAAGGGATGGAAGGAAAAAAAAAGGTTGAAAGTAAGTCAGAAAGTCAGAGCTGCATTCAGATATTCAGTATGGACAGAGAGTAAAATAATTTACCACCAGGCAGGCATGAGGCCTAAATCTTTCTAAGAAGTGACTGACATGATTGTGAATGCAATGCAGTAAGAATAGCAACATCTGCATTTTTATATGCTCTACCACAGGATTCACAATAACAAGAATAAATTCAAAACTTGGTAAAACTCTCTAGCACCATTTTGCCATTTTGTTTCCCATATTTATATGGGAAACAAAATGGCAAAATGGTGCTAGAGAGTCTCTTTGCCTATTTACCCCCCTCCACCTTTATTTCATCTTGTGCAGAGGAACATTTGCAAAGCAGTTTACTTAGTAGTTCTCCTACAGGGAAAAGGTAAGGTTACCATAGTATTGTCAATTAATTTTGACACCTGCTTACAAAGATTGATCAATTATTTTTGATGTCTCTCTGCTATGTTACTGTTTCTCAGTTTAGAAGAGAAATAAAACAAAGCCAAAAATACAACACATCTTTTACCCAAGAATCAATGGTCCCAAGACGCCCTCGGGCAGAGTATTTCTCCTCTTACCACAATGTGCCTGGTACTTGCAAGTCCCTCATTCCCAGAGAGCAAAAACAACCATACGACACTTACATGAAAATAAAGAAAGAACCTTTTCTTTTCAAGTGTTTTAAGCCTACCCTTGAAAATCTGGTGGTTTTTTTGGTTTTTTTTTCAAATACTGTAGTGACAGGTTTCACACATGTCCAATTTAGGTCATTAAAAGTTCAATTTAAATCTTGGGTAACAGGGACACACGCAGGCACTTCAAGCAGCTGCGACTTGGAAACCCTGTAAATGTTTAGAGTAATACCCAAGGTTCTATTAACATTTCTGTAGATAGTATTGACAACCTCCGAACTGGCTGCTAATGCAGCTCTAATAGCCGAACACACTTTTCAGTCTTTGCCATTCTGAAACGCTCCTCACCATAATCCTCACTAACAGAGGCCACTGCTGCAGAAATGATGTACAACAGACAGAACTTGTCAAACCACTGCTGCGAAAGTCCAGCCCTGGCTACTTAAGGGTAAAGCACAAAGGAAACTTCGCAGCCAAATGGAAACAAAATGCTCCGCGGGAATAAGAGAAACCAAGAGTTGCCACAGAGGTCGGGAAGGTGTTCAGTCACCCAGCCATCAGGCAGGGTAACACTCCTTTTCCAACTCTTCAGGTGGAAATACACGGAGCTCGTTACCCATTCCACACCCATCTGAATTTTCAGGATTCAAAATACAACCGCTCCGAGCTGCTGCTTGCAAAAGTGTGAGACACGTTTAACATATTTCACTCCATCCCCAGTTCACAAGGCTTGAAAAGCTTTAAATCTTGGAATGCTTATTTTCAGTGCAGAGTACACTTTGCTTCCACGAATAAAGATTAAGGATGAGCTGTCAAAGACACTGCTATGAAAAGTGTCCTCAGTAAAAAATAGGTCTCCAACAGCTTACTCCAGTGAGAAAAATCATAATGCAAGAGTCACTGCCATTCCTAAAGCTAAGCATGAAAAAACAGAGGAGTTAATGAAAAATCTATTTCACCAAAACCCCTAACAGTACTTCAGTCAAAGACTGTGTTAGCTCGGCTCAGAAGAGGAGCCCTTCCAACATTCAGACAGAACTTCCTCTAGGTGGGGATGGATTATTAACTTTCTACCAGAAGGGAAAATGTAACCACTGTGCTTCCTCACTTGATAAACACAACCGAGCTAAAGAAACCTAGATGTTTTGAAAGATAAGCAAGATAATAATACCTGTAAGGACGGGATAACGGCCCAGTAACAACTCAGAGAGTATACTCATTCACAACAAGCTTTGAAATTGAATAAATTACCGTTTGCTTTGGTCCTGGCACTATTAGGGTCTGTTATGAGTGGCACCAAGACAAAGGATACAAGTAATCTCTTTAAAGCCAGGAAATAATAGCTCTGCAGATCCACATACACAAAGATTCACCTGGGCCTCTTCTCATCACTCTCTGAAATTAACCCATTGTTCCACAGCAGGACAAACCCCAAACATCCAATACGCACAGGCAACAACAAACGGCCAACTTTAAAACCTTATTATCAAGTTCATAGGCAAAAAAGTATGTATTATTTTTACCTTGTATTAGCTTATAGCTAGGTTATAATCTTACTGCTGCAATATCCACTAAATATCAGTGAATTGGCTCTTTCTCTGCACTGTGCACATCACTTCAGCCAACACTGACTTCAACTACTCCTTAACTTCCCAGGCTAAGAAGTTACTGGATTTACTTTTTGTTTATTTAGGAATGAATGACCTCGTATTAAACGTTTAAACGAGATGTAAATTATACATCCTAATTTCAGTGTTTCAGAGAGAAAAACTGAATTTAAACACAATTTTAAAACAGACAGTTATTGATATTTAACCTATAAAAAGTAGTTACCAAAGAAAGAAAAAACTTCAACTTCTCTAAGACATAGTCTCACCAATGCATTGCTATTAGTTAGACATTAGAACACTTTCCAGTTATGTATGTCAACATACTTAATAAATGGAGCTCCTGCTCATAAGGGGTGTTTTACAGGGAATAAAATGAGATGACCTGTCTAAGATTATATAGCGAAATAACAGCAACCAGTGTTCTTCACAGCCAGTCTTTACACTGATACCAAAGGGGGCGGGAGGAAAGTGACAGCCCTATAAATTAAGTCTTCTTTCCCTCTCCATATAGAAAAGCAAGTGTCAGGGTATGCTTCCTTCTCACTGATCAATGACTCTGTATCACACTGACTTTTAAGAATGAGAAGGTAGTTAGACCTTGAATGAGTACCCGTTCCTTTGCAGAAATATGTTACTGTTTTATATGTCCCACTCTTTTCTGCAAACCTTGTCACCAGGGATGTACATTTCACTCAGCTGCACTCGTGTTGTCCTGAATGAAACTGACTGATGCCCATTTAGCTCAAGCAATTGAAAGAAAGGAAAGCTGGAAGGAGCTAAACCTTTCACTCTTCCGAAGGAAGAGGTCATTAAAATCCACCACTAATTTTTGCTCCCTGGGCAGCCCCATGAGGCGCACATGTCATTTCCATGACACTTCCAGAAGGGACAGCAGCGACACAGCTTTAGGCCGATTTCTCCCCGTCTCTCAGTTCCCATGAAGTGGAGCAGCCTATTTTCAGCGATAAGTCAGCCGGAGCTGTGTCCTGTGCTCTTATGACCTGCAGGAGGCTATTTCGTCCATAACTTCTGCCAAATACTTCCACCACACACGAACAAAATCATAGCAGGCACGAGCAAAACAAAAGAAAAAACAAACAAACAAACAAAAAAAAGACAAGTGAAAGTGAGAGGAAAAGGATGTAGGGATGAGAAGAGGAAAAAAATCGCAATAAGCAGAGACTTACTTGAACCTGCCCTGGCAGTGTTGGCACTGGTCTCCCACCCAGCCCTGGTCGCAGACGCAGGTGGAGTTGACACAATGACCCGAGAAGCAGGAAATTTTGTCGCAGGACTTAGACTGGGACACCTGGGCATAGAGGGCCAGGTAGAGGAAGCCGTAGAAGAGCAGCCAGCTGTTCACATCCAGGAGCGAGGCGAAGCAGCAGCAGCAGGCGGAGGGGAAAGGTCTCCAGGCGGCCGGGCCCGCGGGGGCAGCTCCCGCTCTCCGGCCGCCGCTGCCCAGGTCCATCTTGGCCGCGGGGGCCGCGGGCCGAGGCGCGGCCGGCGATAGCAGCTCCCCCTGAGGGGAGATAATCC